CCCTACCCCTTTTTAAAAGGCTGGCAACGCACCTGCTATTGCCCTGGTGTTGCGTTTGTTCATGGGCTGCGATAGCCACTTACTATCAGGTGAGCCGAATGCTCGTTTGCCCCGTCATCTATAAAAAAAAACTAACAAAATGAGCCCAAATTCGGCACGCCTGGTTCTACTCGGTGACGAGTTCCAACAGCAGTCACCAAGTACACCTTCAGGGCACCCCATCAAGACCGGAGGTAAGCTCTCATCACAACAAACAAAACGAGACAGTACTAAATTCGTCACATTTAGTTCTACTCGTCCAGAAGCTGCAGTATTAGTCACTGAATTAACCTTTAGGTCACTCTATCAAGTTCGGAGGTAAGGTCCTATTAAAACTGACAAAACAAACCCAAAGTCCACAGCTAACGTCTCACTGCCAGTACAGGGCTTCCAGTACTAAGCAGTCTCTGGAGTAGGTATTCATATTTCGTATCTAAGTATATTTTTGAGGTATAAGAAATGAAAAACAAATTCAATCTTTCAAATTACCAAAATAATTTTATTTGACTACGATTTCCGCAGCCAACCTTACGTACACTTTTGTGTGATTCGTGTCAATGTAATATATATACCTATGAATTTGTAAACGCGTCCTAAATATAGATTACAAATAATTTTAATTGTATGTCAATTTTATTTTTAACCACTGGTTCGAATAAAAACTCTGTCCTTGGAAGAACCAGCAAGAAAGCCACTTTTTTCATTGTATATAATACAATAAAAGCACAGGTTGGAAAAACTTATTACAGACCTTATATGAGAAACAGCTTGACAGTGATCCACTCATTCCCTGGGGTTATTATCAACAAAGTAGTTTCGAGCTTTTGATATTCCTTAGTGCATTCAAAAGAGACAAAAAGTAAAAACCTAAAACACCTAAAACATATTTAGGAAGAGAATTGTTTCCCTGACACGTCACCGAAAGGCCGTAACAGATCTCCTATTAGACCATACCAGTCATCTGAATGGTAAGTTTTTTTTTAATTATTATTGATAATATTAACGTGGAGTAATAGTAATTTTTTTGCAGTGAACCAATGGTGGTTATTGAAATTTTAAATGAAGACGGCGGCGTGAATGACGTCGAGGATGATGCCAAGGATGACGTCGTCATGGATGAGGTATTTTTAGCCCCGGATGCCCATGCAATGTTTGTGTCCCCGGGAACGGGTGAGAGGTGGCAAAGTAGAAGAAGGGGTGTTCGTGGTGTAGGTGGGTGAGAAAGATCACGTGGGCGTGGGTATCTGCAACGAGGCTTTGGGGGGGGGGCAACAGTGTGTGGTGGGATATCCACTGTGTCAAAATTATTTGACCAATGATGACGTCCATTCTGAATTGGTAAGTTTGGCGAAAGATGTTATGAGAATAAAAGATGCTGCTAGAGCCGTAAGGAATAGTTAGGGAGGAAAGATAATGGAAAATGAGGATGCAAGCGAGAGCGAAGATGCGGATTAATTTTTTATCGCCAGTGATGGAACGGATGGTGTTACTCGGCTGGAAGGCCAGAACCTCGGAATTGAATGGTCTCCCAGTCCATAGGTAGTACAGTAGTCCTTTCAAGGCCAGGAGGAGAATTTTGTACCCGAGCGTACTGGTTCGGTTCAGTTTTATAATGCGGTATATGATGCTTTTCTTTTCTTTTGGGATGATGACATTTTAGGCCACATTGATGGCTGAGACGAACTCTTACGCTACGAAAATTGCATCTGCCGTTTTCCAGTCCAATTGGCCTCTACCAATATTGACGAAATTTTGTGCCTCTTTTCGTTCTGGATGATGTTAGCGATCATCAGAATGCCAACTGTTACTAGTTGTTTATCTGTTGATCTGCCTTTGGAAATAGATAATTTTAACCATAACTTAACAAGAGAATTACATTTTGTAGAATCTCACCCCGCTTCTTATCATGGTCACACTGGCGCTGCTGGATCGAGTTGACCGTCTGAGATCAATTATCACTCATTTGAATGAAAAATTTCAATCAAATTAGGTTTTAAATAAAGGAAGACTGAATATCGAACAGTACATTCAGTCTAAAGCTGCTAAGTTTGGGATCAAAACTTTTGAACACTGCGAGAGTGTCTGGTCCTTTATTGTTTTCAGTCACCTGGTGTACTTAAAAGTACTGCAGTAGTGAATAAGCTCGTTGGTCCCTTACTAAACACTTAGTTACTCCTTTTTTTTAGCTAGGTTTCCGAAGCTCAATGGTGAAGCTCTGACTGCGTAGGTACTTTGAGAGCTTCTCGCCAAAATGTTCCCGTTGTGATAAATAAGGCTCCGCCTAGAAAGGGACAGATTGTTGCTAGACATTCTGGCGATGTTTCAGTTTTAGCATGGTAAGACAAAACACGAATCACCACGATTTCTACATGTCATGATGCATTAATTGCCTTGCCTACAGTTACGCCGCGGCCTTTGTCTTGGCCAGTACCATTCAAAGCGCAAATGGTATTGGACTACAATAAGTTCATTGGAGGGGTTGATGTGAAAGACTAGACGCTAGAGCCTTATTTATTGGAACGGAATCGTTGTATCAAGTGGTAAATAAAGCTTTTTAAACATCTTATCAATTGTTCTATCTACAATTCTCGCACTCTTCTACAGTTATCAACATATTGGCACGGCCGGTGTACAGAGTATCACCATTGCTGTGTAGTTTGCAACATATAATTAATATGCAGAAGAAACAGCGTTGTGATAGCACGTAACCTTGTGGAAGGCAAGCATTAATATGGATGAATAATCAGAGCATGCTCCGTCAACAACCATCTTGATGCTCCGATCCGCAAGAAAGCTGGTGATACAATTGTACAATTTCTCGGGAAGCCCTTAGGAAGGGAGCTTCAAAAGAAGCGTTTTGTGCCAAACCCGATCGAGGGCCTTCTCAATGTCCAAACTAACGGCCAATACCTCCCCCTTGGACTCTACTGCTACCGTCCATCTATGAATTAGGTAGACCAGAAGATCACCAGCTGATCGACCCTGACGAAAACCGCATTGGCACAGACTAATCAGCTGGTAATCCTCAAGGTACCGCATGTGTTGGCAGTTTGTAATAGATTCCATTATTTTGGAAAACAAGGCGGTGATGGCGATAGGCCCGAAATTTGAAGGATCTGAACGGTCGTTTTTTGGATGAAAGCCATCTTCCTTGATTTCGGTGACAGAAATTCCCTTTGAGAACCTTGGCGAGACACCAGAATGCATGGGTTCCTGAAGGAAGGCGAACTAGTTTCTCGCCAATCCTGCCTATGTGTATAGACTTTGCTTTGGAAGTGACTCTTTGACCGGTCTGGAGGCAGAATTATACTTCTTCTTTCTTTCTATTAAATATATATGTCACTTCAAAGACCTTTTTAAATCCAATGCTGGACAAAATATTTTGAGGAATAATCTGGCAGAAAAGCATTAACTGAAAGTTTTGTGCACTTATCATGCCATCCAGGACCAGATTATCTTAATGGCCGACATCACCCGGATCCCCGCGTACAAGCATTTTTGCGTGATATAGGAAGTTAGAGAAAGGGTCCAAAACTTGAATTGTCCAATGGCATCTACATGACTCAATCTGGCCTAATGCTATCTCATATACACCCTGCTGGGTTGTCAGAATGAATTAGCTCAAAGCCGAAAGCCTCGCACTGATAATACTGTTCCAGTTAATCAGTAGAGTGTATTGCTTGCAGACGAGTTTGCTATTAGGTGTAAAAGTTGGCATTTTCGCCCTTACTCACTACCCAATACAAATTTATATAAAGTGATTGCAAAATCGTGCAAAAAGTTATTTTCAATTGTTGGATTCCACTGGCGTTCTTTATTTTCACAGTTGTTGACCATATATTACGTCTCACGTAAATAGTGTAACAGTGTGGTGATAGAGTGATGCAATCAATCACCAAATTTCATCCAGTGGGTATCGTAAGAAGTGACAATGTTATATGCCAAAAAGAAATTAGATTATATATTTTTAAAGTCAACATGAAAATTGAAATGAAGATCTATTGGATTTCAATAGATAGTGATATCAACGTGTCGTTTACATTGAGAGTGAAATTCCCAGACCGGTAATAAAAAGCAGCGTTAAGTGTGAAACCTCAGGTGCTGACGATTATGGCGAATCTACCTTCCGACGGGAAAAGTACATTTATGGTATGCTGTCTCTCTTATACTCCAAGAAATTTCACTATCATTTAATAAATCGTAAGCTAAAGTTAAACAGTCCATAAAGCTGACAATTCTTGAGAGAGAACAGTTCGTCCCTCTATTTTTCCCGTTTTGTCCCGTTTCCTACACAGCACCGCACTTGCGCAACGAACCTCAATACCCCTACGTGGTGGCTATGGGACCAGAAGAAACGTGCCCCGGAATCACTGAGTCGGCCCCTGCGGTGGATCTGCTGCATTTTCCAATATTTTGACCGTAAACGGTGGGGGGAAAAGGGATGCATAACTATACTGACACTCCCCTCATCACTATCGTCGCATCAGTGGTGCGGCCCAGCCAGAATATGCGTAGGTACGCTACTAGTCCACCTACGCGCGTGGATGATCATCTTAGTTCACCGTGGGTGACCAAACCACTATTACTGAGACCCATCCCCCTCGCCACTATATTTCTAGCACAAGCGTTTTAAGCTTGGAGTAGACAGAGTTGAATAAAAACATACACATTATATTCAAATATTTTATTTATTCATTATGACTAGATATAATATAATAATTTATAGAAAAAAAGTATATTCTTTATATTATATAATATTTTATAATAAATAAATATAAACGTATTATTTACCTTAAATCGTATTTACGTCCACTAAAGGAATATATATATAATATATTATTTTTATATTTGAGCTCATCATAAACCAATTTATAATTGATTGGCAATACTTATTCAATATTGACTTGTAATTTTAAAATTAATATTTTAAAATAATTGCAATGCTCTTTATTTCATAATTTTCATCTAGATTGCAATATATAACACATCGCTATTGAAACAATAACCAATACTGGAGTGGCGAAAATGGCGTATCCTGAAAATAAAAATAATTTTAAGTAATGGTCCACTTAAAAATAAATTTTGTTATTTTTTAATTCCAGAAAGAAATTTCATTTAAGTTTAACTAATTATGTTTTTCAGTAAATTTGGATTATCTTTTTGAGTCAGTTTTCAATAAATATAAAAAAGCAAAATTTTAAGAAATCGAAATTATCCCGTTTTAATAAAACAGAATTTACAAAATATGTAACGTAATAATGTGAATCATCATCATTATCTTTATCGTTAGAACTCCTCGCTGAGCAAAAGGTCTAAGGATGGTTTTGATATTTACGCCAATAGACACGAAATAAGTTTTATTTATTTTTTGATTTAATCGCGTTTTATAATAACTTTTTTAAATTCCCATTATTTCGTTAATAATTTTAAATTAAAGATAGCCTTTGTTAATTATGTCATCAGAACATCAAACACCTTATCTCCCAGTAACCATAGGTGCTGTAAAGGGTCTGAAACTTCGGTAATAAAAAAAGTCAAATGCGATAAAATCCGTAAAATAAGCTTTATTCTAGAGGTCTAATAAAATTGTTAAATGAATAAATTATTGTAATATAAATATTCACTTTGAAATATAAAACAGGTAATAGAAAATTACCTTTGTCAGGTGGTGACTTCGATGTATTTGGTAGCGTTGATGGAGGATCTAAAAATAAAAATAAATGTTAATTATAAACAGCGAAAAGAGAATATAATCACTGGGTAAGGCCGTAGATTTTGCCACTAAGTAACATAGAGTAACATAGACACTTCTTTGTTACGGTAAAGTAGAAGTAAACCTCTGCACATCAAATAAAAAAATACAAAATTTTTAGAAAAATGTTGATATCAAAACACTACCAAACTGTGCTGCTGTGCTTTTTAAGAAAAAAATTTGGTAACATACAAACTAGTAACATAGAAGCAAAACATAGAACATAAATTTAAATAGTAATAAATCTATAAAAAATGCGTTTTTAAAGACATGAAAAGCACAATGTAGTAGCTTAACATTGAGACATTTCAGATTGTCACAAGTTAATTAAATTTTCATTATAAAAATGTAAATTTTATAGTGTAAGTACCAAAAATACATCATGTTTTTCGTTAAATTTGGGGGTCTGCACGAATTTAACTCATTTTTTTAATGTACAACTTACATAATTTTAAGAATATAGTATAAAAGTTTAAGAGATATATAACCTAATTAACATAACTTCATTACAATTAACCCACTATGTTGTTTTTTTATAAGGAATCAAAATATGAAAAAAAATTTCTTCAAAAAGTGGCAAAATCTACGGCCATACCCCACTACGTTTAGTAAACAATACATGAGCCATTATAGCTCAAGTCTGTCGACACGCGTTGGAGCAGCTTGGCGGATTTGTCACCATGTTATCGGTTGTGACTGCAAATTCATTTCGTAACCTGCTGTATAAATATACTGGTCGAGAAGTAACTGCACGCTAAAGAAAATATGAAAAAAAGAAAACAAAAAGAGGGACTATGAGTTATGTGTTACATGCTACTTAATATTTTAAAACTTTTTTTTAAGTAACACAAACTCAACACTGAACATAAAATGATATATACCCCATAACCCTCAAAATTACAGGAGGCTTCTTTCAACCATTGGAACATATTATAGGCTGCAACATTACTCAGAAGTGACTGCTATGAGCACATGCTTAAAGTTGACTGCAGTAGCTACTTACCATCACTGGCACTGTTAGCTTATTGGTAAAAAAAAAAACAAGGAAAAAAAACCTTGACAAATCCAGTTTATTACACCCAGTAGTACTTTTACGTAAAATGTCAGTTTAGGCTTAGTCAACGATAATTTCAAGTATCTGACAAAAGTACTTTATTATAAAGATCCTATTAACGTAACTTAAATTACCTCTGTAGAATATATCCCTTTTCCTGCTAAAATAATTTGCTAAGGGCACTTGCATATCACACAGGATTTCTACTGTGGGCGGTAGAGAGTCTATTCTTATTACGGTGCTCGTGAATGCCGTGTACCGGCCCTCAAAGTTCTTGATTGAAGATTTTGCGTTTAACGGCCTGTAAAACAGCGTTAGTTCAGTTTAGTTTGGCGTAACACGATATGAAGAAAAAAACTTAGTACTGATGTCACATAAAACTATTTAAATAACGTAAATTCTACGGCCCATTTTGAGATAATACTGTGATTTTTATATTTTTCCAAAGCGATTTTGAATTATTAATTTTGTTATTTTATAAGCTGTGGTGAAAGTTTGCGGCCTTTTCGGTAAATAAAGATTTTATCGCGAAGGACTTAAGCTGCTTGTAGTACTCTATACTGGATGCCAACTTATTTTTACGGCACTTAGCCAAAGTGTCATCACGAATTTTTATCATAAACCTAATATTATCCGCAAACCACGGTGAGGAAGGCTCCTGTAAAGCACTCTTCCTAATGGGTGCATGCGCATCGAACACCAATAAGATGTTAGAGTTAAATATATCAAATATATTTAACCCTAATATTATTCAGAAAACGAAAATAATTTTTTTAAAATCAAGTTAGATATATGTATAAAAAATTAAACTTATCTAAATATATGTTATTTAATGGCCTATACTGTATAAATTGGGTTTTCGGTTTATCCTTTTTGATATAGAATTAACAAACATTGATTGTATGTCCATATAAATTACCCGGCGTAAATAAAGACAAATGCTTCCAATTTAAATTAGAACAAACAAGATCTATCAATGTTTCCAAAGTGCTAGTGAAATGAGTACGAGAAATAACCAGCTGATTTAGTCCCAAACATATAAGACAATAGCTTAACTTTTTATGTATAAATTTAAAGTGATCATTATACCCCAACGCACTTATTGAGCTGACAACGGCATCTAGGAAAAGCTCGATATTTTACATAATGCATGTAAAAAATATACGGTACTTATAATTAAAAAAAATATCTGTCTGTCAAACAGAACAAACAGTTGTGGTAAACTTTGAAATGGTTAGACCGATGTACCGTGTTATAAGAAGTAACTTGGGCTACTTTTATTTATTATTAATAATTAGGATTCCGCGCTAAAAATAAAACCCATGAAATCTAATCGTAGTAAATGCCACGCGATCTAAGTCGCGGGAACAGCTGGTTATTTTATAATTTAAGACATGAATATGGTCGATAATGCAATATCTTTTCCCGAAATTAGCCATTATGAGTTAGGATCTTTCAATTTTATGGACTGTCTTTCTGCCAGAAATGGTACCTGAATTTATTATATGCAACTAAATATACAACGCATAAATGATATGAAGACATAAATAATTTTTTTTTCTCAAAATTATATTTGTCCAAAGTAATTCTAGAATGTTAGCTAAGTTATATAAGTAATTATGTATCTATTTGCCCAATATTAAAAAAATGTACTTTAAAATGCTGTAACGGTAACAGTTACTGCCGTACCGTTACAGCATATTAAGGTACACTCCTGACCTGACTAATATTAATTCAATAGAAAAAAATAACCTCACATTTTATATACAGCTATCAAGATCTGGCACATGTTTTATTGTAATATATAGGAAAAATATTCCTGGCCACAGGCCTTCCCTGATTTCTGAAAGGATGTTCTTAGGGTAAGGATGTATCCACCACATTTCCCAGGTACGTGTTGGCAGACCTTACGTGTCTTTATAATATATTTTTCATGGTTCCATTACAATGTTTTCCTTGAGAGCCAAGCACGTAGTAAATTATCATTTACAATAGCAATTAACAATTAATGAAAGTGCCGCCAGTAATTGAACTCGAGTTGCAAAGGCCATGCCTCAGGAGTGGTAGCTCAGGGGCTGTGGTAATTAATTATAAATGTAAATAACTATTTCTGTCACCAAAATGAAACAAATCCCACATTACAGTCTGAAGTGTAAAATCGTAAATTATGAGGTATTTTAAAAGTCAGGGGTTGTAGAATTTGGGATCAAATGTCAATTGGCTGTAGAAGTAACTTGCCAAAAAAACAAAACATTTCTTGAGGGTCTGTTTTGGGAAGTTACCAAGTAAAGTAAAGTTACAGCCTATATACGTCCCACTGCTGGGCACAGGCCTCCGCTCATTTCTGAGAGGGTTTTAGGGCAAGGAATAGTCCGCCGCGCTGCCCCAATGCGTGTTGGCGAACTTCACATGTCTTCGGAATATTTTTTTTTCTTATTTCTCAGACATGCAGGTTTCCTCACGATGTTTTCCTTCACCGCCGAGCACGTGGTAAATCAGCACTTAAAATTGCAATTAACAATTTCATTGGTGCCGGCGGGGATCGAACCCGGTTTGCTCGCGTACTGTGAAATTTACAGCGAACGCTAACCATCTGAGCTACCACGGAAGTTACCAAAGCAAGTACATAATCTGGTATTGGAATTGGTCAAGTAAACGCAGACCATAAACGTTGAAAATTACATTATTTTTGTCATTTTCACTGTAATTTTACATGTAAGAGTGTATCGATCGATCGTCTCGATAGGGGAAGAACTAAGCTTGCTTAGGATTCATGTGTATTTAATGTATGTAGTGAAATATCTTGTATAGTGAGTGGTGAGAATTAGTGACTCTTTTTCTAGACATTCCATCTAAGTCCTCATGATTGAAAACGTATCTCAATTTTTATTATTTGAGGATAGATGTATGTACTTATAAGCCACAGCATCTACTTACCACCAGAAGGACTATGCGTTATACGAGTATAAGAAGTCAAGTTTAATTCTGAACATGATATAGGTATTTCTTGCAAGTCTTTTATATAATGGTCTGACATGTTACTAACCTGTGGTTTACCCGACTTGTATATAAATGTAGGATAAATTCGCTGAAGATCAGTAAAAGGAAATAGTGTATTACAAACTAAATATATAAACTGTTTCAATAAGTCAACTTTATGTGCAATTATCGACTTAATCTTTACAGAAAAGTAATCAATAAACTACATTTTGACCTTAGAGTATATAACAAACACATCTATTGAAAGATGTTGCGTATAATGCTATTCTTGTTCTAATAAAATAGAAATGTCGAGTGGTCATATTTGGTCTCTATCATCATTACAACTCTTCACAAATCCACTGCTTAACATAGGCCTCCACCAAGGAACACCACAAAGCACGGTCCTGAGCCACCTGCATCCATCGACTTCCTACATGTCTTACCAGGTCGTTACTCCATCTAGTGGCAGGTCATCCTACACTACTCCTTATCGTATGAGGCTGCCACTCGAGAACTTTTTTCCCCATTGGTTGTCAGTTTTTCAAAATATATGGCCGACCCATTGCCACTTCAGTTTACAAATCCGTTGGGATATGTCTGTCACTCTGGTTAAATTGCGGATGTCCTAATTTCTAAGTTTATTACGCATAGAAAATCCGAGCTAGCTCGCTCCGTAACTCGCTGAGCGATCTTGAGCGTCCTTATGCAACCAGCAGTGAAGAATAACATCTCAAATCCATAAGTCATTACTGACAACATGCAATGGTTGTACAGTAGAGTGGAGCGAATTTTTTTTCACCTTATCATAAGGCAATAGTGCGCAAAAAGTGTCTTTAGGAATCAAATTAACTCACTCAAAATATTATTTGGATTGATTCGGAGTTACTGCCTTCGCAAGAAATTCCAAACCATCGAAGCAGAATCACTCTCAAAAACGCTCCAGATTTGAGCACAGATCAAAAGTACTTACACGAGATCGTCTACGCGGTACAATTAAGTTCTTTTCCAGAAGATCTAGCAAACAGGTCTCCAGGTATGTACCTCATCATCACATTCTCTTCTACAAAATTTTATTCTTGTTGAATCACACATGCTAATTGAATCCTACAATACGAGAAACCATCAGAAAATTTAATTGTTCTGGCTTTATTTGTCGTAAAAGTTTATGCCCCAGCTTGGTTCTCGATTAAGATTAAACCATCATGTAAAGATGGAGTGCAACATCTATTTAAAACTATATTGACCTTCAGGTATCTGCCAGAATCCTTAAAAGAAGTGATTAACCCCGTCATTAGCTACTTCACACATCCGGAGAGTTTTGCTACTTGCAATGATTACAGATGAAAATAGCACATTCGTAAATTGGCAGCCCGGCGTATATTAAAAGCACAGAGTATATAACAATTTCCTGCGCCAAAGCTATTTGAGATACCTGATGTTAATTTAAGCGCAACAACCTACATTGGTATGATAAATTGGCAACACACCATTACTGAATCGCCAATCTTGAAATACTTAAGTGACCAAGAAATTCAGAAAATAGTCCAATATAGTGGAGAGGGTGATCTTTTGTTTTTACGTCTCCCATGTCATACTCGGACTGTTGAGCGAGCTGTGAAGTTAATGACAGAAGCGGCCATTTTTCGATGTAAGGATTCATCACGATTGGAGCTCTTAAAATCCAAATTGGAATCCTGTAAGAAAATGCCAAAATTCGAGACGAAGAGAGATTTAAATGCAAATTGACGATTTGATTTTTAAAACATATGATTGAATTTTTAATTTAATAAATTAGTGAAACTCATCTATTAAATTACATTTTTAGTATTTTAATTATATTATTAAGTTTCATTTATAATTTAAAGTTAACTCTTGTTTATTTTTTATCTTAGCCCAAACATACTAAAGTTTTTCGATAAAACATTAAATTTTAAGGGCCCTGCGGATGCAGAAGATGTTATTAAATTGAGCTGAAAAAAAGGTAAATTGACTTTACTCATAAGACATTAATTCCGCGGTATAAGAATTATAAATAAGAATTTTTTTTTCATACAACATTGCTCCACCCTATGGTACAATACGGTTTTCAGGTTTTAAGGTATAGCTGACGAGAAGATGTATCGTAATTTCCTAAACGCTGTCCAGCCGAGTTGAATCCGTCGATTGACCTCTTGGCGAAGTTGGACTTATCAAGTTGGATTAATTGTCCCAGGTAAATGTACTCGTAAAGAACTTAGAACTTAGTGCTTCCAACAAATACCGCCACATTTGTAACATGGCCATTAAATATGATCTTCGTTTTGTCCATGTTCATCTTAAAACCTACCCAATGTGAGATGAGAGACTTTTGAGGTCACTGAGATAAGTGCTTAGATCCTCCAGCAATTTCGCCATAATAAATATATCCTTTGCAAATCTAAGGTGAGTGATGTACTTGCCATTGATATTAATACAATATACTTTCGAGTTCAGTACCTTGAAAACGTCTTCAAATGCAGTGGTGAAGAGTTTCGGGCATGTAACGTCACCCTGTCTTACAGCTATCTGCTCTTGGATAGGTTTCTCTGGTTCTGTACTCTAATAGTCATCGTAGCCCTACTGTGCAAATACTTTAGCATTTCGATATACCGACAGTAAACTTGGCACCGCTAAAGGAACTGTAGCACCGCCCAAAGTTTGATGAAATCAAGGGCTTTTTCATAGTACACATACGCAAAGCGAAGTGACAGACTCTACTTTTCGATCTTCTGTACAATCTGCCGCAGGGTATCTATGTGGTCTACGGTACTGAGGCCTTTTCGGAAACTGGCTGATTTGGGAGGCTGGAAGTCATCTAGTGTGCGTGCGTGACGATTCGTAACGAACAAATTAAAAAAAAACATCAACACTTAAAAGTTAGAAAACTTTTTTGCCACTGTATTCTTTATTAATTCACGCAAGAGTGAAAAATGCATTACAATAATTAATAAAGTTGAGATACTGCAATGCCGCGGTGTAGAGTTGTGAGGAAACGGAAATAAGGAATTAAATAATAAATAATTGAGTTTAAAAAAAGTCATGGAACAAAAATTTTAAGATTGGGATTCCAGTCAAGAGCTTTTTATTTTAAAACAATTTACCATGTCTATAAAACAGTTATGAAGCCATTTTAGGTAACGTAAAACTAATGTTCATTATTAAATTCTTAAATTATATATAATTTAGGTAATTAATTGTAAATACATTTTAAACAATGTTCATTTGTATAGCAGGAGCAAAATGAAATTCATCAGACCGTGCATGATGTGTGACGTAAGGGATTTAATGCTCGAAAGCGTTGTTAAGCGACTTAGATATTACGTCGTATGCTGTGCATATTGGTACGAAATTTGTTTCTCACGTTCAGTAGGCACATTAATTGGTAGACGTTCGTGATCTATTGCCAAAATCATAGAAACTTAAGTTATTTAATTTAAATGATCGCTTTTTTTAGTTCACTGAGATCAAATTTGATTTTAAATTTTATTTACAAAAGTTTTCTACATATTAGATAAATATTTTATGGTAGTAGAGCAATGCAGCTATTAATCATGGTGAAACATCATTGTAGCACGAATGGGACACACAGAATACCAGCGTGAAATATTTAGCTTAATGTTGCTGTGTTTCGTATGGTAGTGTGCACAGAACCGGAGACATTTTTTTGGAAACGAGGTATCCTATCTTAGTCCTAGGCTAAAGCATCCATTTGTCATGTACTAGTTTGTTACTTTTATAGTATAAAAATAATTACGGAAATTTAATGCATATTATCATATACATATCTAGCTAAATTTAATTGTATATATATATATATATATATATATATATATATATATATATATTAAAGATAAAAATTACAGGAAATAATAATACTTATATTAATAAAAATTTATTCATAAGTATTATAATTTCGTAATTAAAAGCAATATAATTAGCTTTGAGGGTTGGAACCTTTATGTTCTGTAATCATTATCATTACAGCCCATCTCAGGACTATTGTTTCCAAATTTAAAATCTTTAAAAATTGCAGATAATTAGAAGAAAAATTTAAATCATTACCTGTTACCAACTAAAATAACAAGTTCTGGCTTCGGAAAGACTCCTTCAACAGAACAAATAATATTCAAATATCCATCACTTAGTCGGTCTAGAATCATGTCGAATCTCGTTTCAGGAACTGAAAGAAGTAATATTATTTAATTTTTTTAAATGTACAAATAATGAAATATAATTATTTTATATAAAATTGTAATTGAGGTCCTTCCCAATGCCCAAAGTTATTAGCAATAACACGTAAAAGAGCATTTTTATTGACATCTCTCACGTTCGTTAACGTAAAATAATTTTTGTGCTCATAAGATCCCAGTCAGACAGAATAAGTCAGATCAAAGTGATAGGGCCCAAGTGTGTGTGCATTACTTACGGGTGCACTCACTTTTGTGTAATGAAAACCTCTCTTATAATCCGATGGGATGGCAATCTGACACCACTGGAAACAAATCAAGCGCAGGATCAACGGCTCTACGTATTTTTTTAAGCACAGAAGTGAAATATACCCAGCTTGCTGACTCCGGACTACTACTGAGAATTTCTTAACAAAAAAACTTTATAACTAATTTTGATTGGACCCGGGATCCGAACCCAGGACCACAAAATCAGCAGTCGCACTTGCTACCAATAGAGGCAATTAAAATGAAATAAATATACCATCTTATGAAGATATTTAAATGTAATATAAAAATTGTTATAGTAAAAAAATGGTTGTTCATTAATATGAAAAATTGTTATAATAAAAAATCGGTTGTTCAATAATAAGATAGTGTACATTTAAGTAACTTAATGGTTGCAGTGGTTGCCACTAAAATCGTGGCTTAGTGATGTTGTGTCTCTATGGTAAGTAACAACAACCGAAGACTTCATTGGTCGCTTAGTACTCCGGGTTGACATAATGTTTTAAATCTCAAATCGAGGATACTATACATACAAAATGAGGTAGGCCCCAGCATTCACTTATTGATGTAATATTTTTAAAATAAAATAAAGCATTGTGGTCGTTTAAACGCTATTATCGAATAAAATATATTGGGGTCAAAAGATGAATAAAATTAATTTAAAGTCAACGGTTACGAATAATATTTGTATGAATTAATTAATTGATGACGACGAGACAGTCGGTGTCAGTGGACTGTGTGCACAGGCGACATCAAAATAAAGTCGATTTTCAAAATTAGATTATATATAGACTACCTAATAAAGTTTATTATTAAAACTATTTTTATTTCTCATCCTTATTACCTAAAAGTCCACAGCTGGACATAGGAAATCCCATATAAGGAGATGTATTTTAAGACATCTTTGTAAGGAGATCCCTAATACTTCCCTAAGACTGGTCACCATTAGAAGGGTCAAAGGTGCAAAACGCTTGTTACTGCGATCTTCAACCCTGCCAAGCGCAGTAACGCAGCGCCTGCCAATACTTTTAGTAAAATTAATTTAAAAAATGAAAGTATTTCACTTTATATAGGTTTGCAAGTAGTTTTGTTTACTCATCTGTCGTTAACTTGTGAGATCCATTTGAGCTCATTTTGAAATTATTTTAAAATATTTTTTGATGGCACGCTGCGTATATTGAAAGTATAAAACAACAGTACGCACAGATTGGGACTGATCGCGTATAGTTTCAATTTGTTATGAGCATAACTATTTTTAGAAACTATATTATGATTATTACGCTTTTATCCTGTATACTTTCCAATAAGGTACGCTTATACTTTGAGCGAAAAACATACTGCACTAGTTAAAAACATACATCGAGCATAAACGCGATAGAGTGTATGTTATTAAATGTGTGTAGACAGTATTTGTATATTATACAAAATAACACAAATATTATAATTAAACTTATAATTACTTCCTATTTGCCTAACAATTCCGTGATAAAAAAAAGAAAATGTACTATGAAGATTATATTACATATATTGAGTAATATTGATCCTTGTAGTTACTACTGTAACAGCTTTTGGCGCTGCGGGAAGTGCAGTCCCTTCACCCTTGCGCGGCAAATCGCAGTCACCCATGTTCACCTTCGCAGCTTCGGCTTATTGGTCACATTCACACGGGTACCTGTAATTTGCTACGGCGGGTGGGGGCTGCTCTTCATCCGCACCTTCGGATTTTTAAAAACACTCTAGGAGTAGGGCAGACAAGACTACGCGGAGTGAGGGCGCGCTGATTCAGTTTTAGAATCTGTCAAAATGATTCGATCAATCATCTAATTAGCCGTGTTTTCGCAATCACCATAGATTTTTCCGAAAATTCGGTTTATTTCATTATTATTCTACGACATATATAAAGTACACATCATCATCATCATTACAGCCCTTCACAAGTCCACTGCTGAACATAAGCCTCCACCAAGTAACGCCACAAAGCACGGTCCTGAGCCACCTGCATCCATCGACTTCCTGCATGTCTTACCAGGTCGTCACTCCATCTAGTGGGGGGTCGCCCTACAATACGCCTACCGGTACGAGGCTGCCACTCGAGAACCTTTCTTCCCCATCGGTTATCGGTTCTTCGAGCTATATGGCCGGCCCATTGCCACTTCAGCTTACTAATCCGTTGGGCTATGTCGGTCACTCTGGTTTTACTGCGGATATCCTCATTTCTGAGTCTATCACGCAGAGAAAAAAAGTACACATAATTATATTTAATTATGACAGTGAAAGCCTTTTAAAAAAGTGACAAATTGACAGTTAATTGTATTTCTTGTTGATGGTAATTGGACATATTATGAAGATAAATAATTTAACCGCCTTTGTTATAAAAGTACTACCTTTATAAAATAATTTTGTCCCTCACAAAGAACTTCATTATGTTAACAGTTACCTTTGAACTGCCATAAAGTAATAACTACATGATTAGTTGATATCTAATTGTTGCATATTTTTTAATATAATGGTCTTTACTTAGTAAATTTTTGAACTTGTATACTTTACTAATACTTGTTACGCGTTTACATCCTAAATGAATACAATGTTAGATCATGTTGATTCTAGCCTTGTATAATCTCTTAACTTATTTACTAAATCAGCGTTAAAAAGTATACGGGACTGGTACGCAGAAATTGTGTATATTTTCTGAAAATTTTATTTACTATACACTCTGAAAATCATAGAAATTTTCGAATTCTATGGTTTTGGCAATAGATCACATTGGCACATTCTGAAAACATACAGTGTAAGAATACTATGAATGCGTGCTGTCCTTGTACACTTTCCACGTACGCGGTAGCGCTGTAACTAAGCATTTGGTTGTGGTTTCAAGCTTAACGAATTTGTTGATGGTCTTGTGGACCTTGACAAAGAAGTGGAGTGGCGAATATCATCTAAATAAAGACAAATATTATCGAAATATATCATAATATATATAGATATGGAGTAGTGGATACAAGAATAAATGATGTAGTGTTGTTTGCACAACTGCTCTAAGCGGAAATCAATGAAAACATAATATGAAATTATGAAATATATTTTTAAATATCGCGGAACGTGGCAGCTATATTGTGAATCTATTTGGAGGATGCGTATCGTTCCACGTACAATGTGTATGCGGAACGTTACGCATCCGTGTATTAAATTTCATATTGTTCTTTTGTTTAGTTTCATAGTGTTCTTATTTTATTTATGAAAATCGCAAAATTGTGGGTAAGAACGTAAAAAGTAAAATGACAACGGTATAGAAAGTTTTTTATCTCTTTTTACAATCTGTTCAATCACATCTAATGATAGCAAAATAAGAAAATGAAGTGATTAGTATTATCACCACCGAATCAATTTTTTATTTGTCATATAAATTCGATTTTTAAAATGTTTTTAATTTTTTATTTGTCAACAAAGTTTTAGTGCGTAGTTTTCAAACGCAAGACGATAAGTCCATTTAAATTTAAGTACTTCACAACAATCACTTGTCAAGTGGAAGAATTAACCGAGATAGTGTAACGGAGTGTAACGTAATTACTTGATACCGGCGTGTTAAACAAATTGCAAGGGTTATAATTTTATGGTGTCTTTATAAGAACTTAAATTTGAAAGGATGGCCAGATTTTGACTTTAGATAAGATCAAGTCTCTCAGATAAGGTCAAATTTAATAAATTTATGTAAATTATTTTTTAGTAATTTATATTATTAACGCACCACGTTTTTATACGCATTATTGCTCTTAACTGCAATAATATCAGACCGTTACAAGTAAGTAATTTAAAGCGTTTCTCACTATATTATTATTATGACAGTTTGAGAATTCGGCAACAATGTAAACCCAAGTCTAAAAAAATTAAATCTACATTCTAAGCAAATTTGATAGTTTCTATATAATGTCTATTATAAAACATTCCGATCGTATCGAGTATTGATTGATTTCATCGTGTAAGCAAAACGGTCATTTGTATTCCATTAACAAATAACACGCTTCCCTTCCTATCGCATTAGTTTCACGTGTTCCGTTCATATTTGTTTTATCCGTTTTATTAATTAAAGCAGGCACGTATTGTACTATTGGAATTTTAAGGCAGGGCACTAACGAGTAACTGCTAACGGCCACCGGTAGCCAGCGATATGCACGTTAAATGATTTTGTCGTACGTAATAATTTATCATACATCAGAGAAAGTGAAACATAAAGATCCAAGAAAAGAGCTTTGACTAAATTAAGGAATGAGAGAAAGGACTAAGGCCTTCCACGTGTCCTTATTCTTTAAGTCAATTTATTAAAACATTAGCAACCATTAATAATCTCGGTAATCACTATAACTAAGCTTAGGCGCTTGTGCTAGTTGTGATGGTGATTAACAACAGTAGTCGAATGGCAATCCAAAATTTAACCCTTTTAATGAATCATAGTAATAAAGACGAAGCTATTATTCTGCCTATTCGTTTAGGTTTCACCCAAATATCACGTAAGTGGGTGCACCTACGGTGGATAAAGTTGATCTAAGTAATTTCCGTTTTGTAACATGTCACATAGCACATTGTTGCATTAATAAGCACTCCTCAATACATATATTATGTTTAATGTTTTAAATGAAATAGTCTTATACAATAACTATTTACAAACACTGAGAAAAAAAGGCATTCAGTAAAATACAAAATGTATGATAAATTTCAGTGGTAGTTTTTT